ACTCTCAAGCGTGCAATTCCTCAGTCCGTCCATTAGGGGGCAGACATGTCCCATCTTTTAAACTTCTCTCCTGATCATAAATAAAATGTATTTGAGTCATCGCCTTATTTGCTAATTAAAATCAGTAATTTTTTTTTAAATGACTGATTCTATCACTTACAATAAATATGCCATATTTTAATTCTACTAGAAGTGGGAAATATAAAAAATGTTTTTCAGATATTTCTTTTAAGGTTTTATAGGTTTGCAGGGTTGGGATGTGAAATCATAAATAACATTTACATAGAACGTAGCTGAGCCTTCATAAGTTGAGTCTTGATGTGGTGTCATCAACGAAGAGCTGATTCTAAAATCTCAAACGATGCCAACACCAAAAAAAAATACTCAAGCATTAGTTAGTTGAAGGCATTATTATTATTATCATTGTAAGAAATAATAACAATATAATTATATGCACATTGAATTCAATTAAACAAGTCTTTAGAAAACATGTTTCTTTATAGTTGCAGATGCACTTAACAACAGTTCTGTTCAGTTTCTGGTTGCATCAGGCGATCAACTAATTCAACTAATAAGTTTCTGTTTGAGTTTTGTCAACTTCAGTGTGGATCACAAAATCCTTCAAGATGGTTTGTCAATTTATTTACTTCTGACCGAGCAATTTTTCCAGCACTCAGTGAGTCGCTAGTCCATCCATATGTCCATCTGCTTGTCTGCCTTCCTTTACATTTGTAGATATGGAAAAACTGAACAGTTAACGTTCCTGTTTGGACTTTAAAGTCGAGTGTGTGGGTCTGTGTGGTGAGGTTGGTGGAAGGTGTTGCCTGATCCATCATGTGATTGGTTTAAATGTGTCAGCCGGGCGGCACAGCTGAGGCCATGGAGGTCAGAGGTCACTCATTCATCCATTAAACACACACCACTTAGTGAATGAGATCTGTCACCCACACACTGGGATACAGAGGTGCCCCCATCACTTTAAGGGAAATTTAGTTGATTTTTATTCATGTCCTGGACAGTTGCCTGAACATTTACGTACCTGTTATGCCTCTTTATTGCTGAAGGAAAACGCTCTGCTTTACAATTTTACTGTAAAAATAACAATAAAAGCAATAGTAAGAAATCTGAATCTGACACACCTGTGAAAAACACCGATTTATCGGCATGTTTCATGGGTAATGAAGCTTAGAAAGTAGAAGGTACTAATCTGTATGTGTGGATGAATTGCAGCCAGTTACTTCTAAAACCCTACAGTGTGATTATTGTATGTGTGTGTGTTATGATTTAATTGCTAATCAAACTGATGTCTTGCATTGCAACAACCTACAAACTACATTTGTGCACTTTTTGACGATTTAAATGAACGTCAAATAAAGGGTATTGATGGGGTTGGTCAACATGACTCAAAATAAAATCTCAGATTTTTACATACCAAATCCAATTTCTGGTTTTCAAGAGTTTTTTTTTCTCCCTTTCTTTTCTTAGGAAGAAATTACAAATGGTTAAAAAATATTTTCTAAAACTGTTACCATTTTTTATTTTAGTCCAAATAAATACAAGCTGTAAAACGAGATAGTAGGATCTGGACGGGCTGACTTCACTCTGAACTACAAAAGCTAAGGAAAAATACACAAACCCTCAATTTCCAAAAATGTATTTTATTACAGTAAATGTATCCCCAGTTATGGATGTAAAACATAAAGTATAAATGGGAATGAAAAATTGCTCCCTATATCAAAGAAATCTGCTGCATTTTTTTCCCCTTGTTTTCATTTAGTTCTAAGGGGGAAAAAAAAATCAAAATTAGTCAACACTGGATTTGGCTAAAACCAGAGTTTTAGCCAAATCCAAATTATGTTAGGGTTAAACACCTATAACACACAAATTAACAAAGACAGGAAAGACAAAAGAGTTAGATTCTTTTCACTCCTGAGGAGAACAGACAGAGAGATGTGCTAATAGTTATTAATGAGGAAAAGTACATAGATTATTTGACAGATTGTAAATATTAAAGAGAAGATCACTTTGTACCTAAACCACCCCATGTTGATTCTACAATAAACATCTTCTGTATTTATTAAATTAGTTTTCATTTTTGATGAAATGTTCTTTCTTATTAAACCTACCAGGATTTTCCCCTTCACATAAGAAATGTGGTCTCTTTGTCTCTTCAAAGTTAAGCAAATAGCTTAATGTCTATCAATTTTCTTCACGTATGATAAATTATGTACTTTATGTACATTAAGCCTGAAGGCTGTGACAAAATTTTGTGGAGGTAAACATTTTTCGTTTAAAATTTAAGCAAAGATGACAGCATAAAAGCTTTTGCATTTTTAGTTAAAGTCATCATACGGTTGGAATTTCATCTCTTTGCCACAATTTGAAATATTCCCAACTGTGTAGCCCAGCTTATGTCCTTGTTGGTGATATTTGCAGGATATTAGAAAAAACATAATAATATGCAACAATATGGCATCAAAAAACATTTATGATTTAAAACTAGATCGATAACTACTAATTTGCAATGTATTGCGCAGCTCTGTTCCACATGTGTGCGCCAAACACTGACACAGTTTGCACCAAATGCCACTTTGCTTGCATTTCCACCTGGTGGCGCTGTTTCCTCTGAGCGCCTCCTTCGACACCAAGGTCGATGACACAAAGGGCAAAGCCACCACATCTCGTTCATCTGCAGAGAACATAAACTGGGCAGGGTGGAAAGCTGTATTCTGACAGTGTTTTGAGTGGACCTGATGTCCAAAACACATCCTCTGGTGCTTTGGAGGGTTTTCGCCTGCATAGACCCCTATTTCGTCTCTGTCGCTCTCGTTCTCTCTCTTCCTCCCCAGCATCCACCGGGCGGTAAGGAGAACTAGGCCGCTTAAAGATAGCTCCCGGCAGCCTCAATGCCACCTCCCAAAATATATCTGCTCATGAGAGTCATCATCTCTCTTCCTCCCTCCCCCTCTTCCTCATCCTTCTTTTACTCCATCTCCTTTTGGACAGAAAAGCGAGAATCGACTTTGGAACTTTGTTAATCGATATTCAGCGTAAATCTTTTTTTACATTTTTCTTTTTCTTTTTAATGAAAATATATTCTAGAAGCTGAAGTTTGACTCTGATTGTTCCTCAATGGGGTGACGACATCAAGACTGAATTCATTAAGATTAGTGTGGATTTTGGAGAGAAAGCTATAAGAATTTTTGGGCTCATCCTTTAAATAGGAAATCTATGTTTGAGGCTCTCCTTTTTTCAATTTGTTGTCCAAAACCTATGAATTTACAAAATGACCTTTGCAGGGGGCGGGGCTATTATTATTTCTTTGGATTCATATTTAACACAGTACCAGTAAAATTCACTCAAGAAGAATCTAAAAACCCCTTTTATAAGAAAGTGTTTACAGTTCACCAACCAAGAAACAAAGCCATACATGAAATTGATGACTAAAAAGCTGAATGCACCATCTCAAATGGGCTCAATATTTTTCCTGCTGCCTGGATGGCTACACAGGGACCAAGACTGTAACCCCCCGCATGCCGCCCAGCCCTCCCTCTCCCATTGGCCCACATCCACAGAGAATGAGGACAATAGTTTGGCTCAGAGACATGTGTGCCGAATGTAGTCCTTTAATGTGGGAAAGTGGGACTGTATGGAAGTGAAAGGGGATCATTGCATTGCTGTTTTCCTTCCTTCGCGTGTCGCCCAGATCTCGCTGACTTCTGCAATGGTGACTCTTTCAGATGCTTTTCAGGGGAAAACAGATTATGGAGGGTGGGAGGAACCTCTGTGTGCTCTGGAAAAGTGTGGAAATGTTTAAATTTTCAGTTATTGTCTGTGAATCCGTCAATCCATTTTAGTCCATTTTTAAAGTATTTTTTTCCATATGTTGGAAAGACAGTGTTCTTTTCTGACATAATAGTCAGAAAAGACCTGACAACTATGGAAATTTGAGAAAAGTATGGATTTGGAAGATTTTTGAGTGCATAGTAACTGGATTTTGTTTTGATGGTAAAAGCTACAAAATGTTTATATTGTCATAGTTGTAATAGTGAAATCTTTTAACTTCTGTCCAAAAGTAGGCCTTCTCCTTCTGCCAGGACCTTTTTTACTGCCCTCATTTTAAGCCTGGGTGATATGGATCTAAAGTTGTATTGCAATAATTTGTGGTAATATTGTGATAACAAAAGTGACAATAAGAATTATGTGTCACTTCTTCTTTAGGTATTTGTATGACTGGTTGGATGACACAGCAATCGCAAATATTGCTCTTGAAACCTATTTGTTATGGGTATGTGTTTATTTACTTGACAAAAACGCATATTTTTGGGGAAATGAAAAAAAAGTATAATTTTTTTAACGGAAACTCATGTGTAAGGACAAGGAAAAACTAAATCTATATTTATGCGTTTATTTCAGTCAGTTTTGGTCCTCCATACATGCTAACACCTTCATTTGGGGCTGCCGGCAGCTAGCTGCTAATGTACCCTTGCTAACTAACTAGCTAGCTAGCTTTAAAACAAACAAAAAAACCTTTCTAAAGAGCACAAAACCGGGTTCACATTTGTCACTATGCTTCATTGTAATACAGCAAGTTCCCCAAACCACTATTCACATGAATAGTTTGTTAAATTTGATCCAAGGTGGCGCTAAAAGGGTCTTTAAAAGACTCGCTACACATAAACCGTTTCTGTATCCTCTGTATCATCGTTTTGCACATTCACATGCATGCACGAGCTGCAGGAATACCTCCACACAATATCGAGGTCAGACTGATAGACGGAGGACCCCCCCCCTCCACCCTGTCCCTCTCCACCGCACAGCCTCCGGCTCGCTCTCTGCGAGCTGTTCAGTCATGTAGAAGCTGCCCCATCTGCCCCAAGAGATGGTGAGAATACAGAGGCAGACAGGAGACACACACACACACGCATTGCATGCATGTGCACAAATGCAAAGCAGGCAGAGGTGGAAGTGAGGAGAGAGGATGCCAGAACAAGAGAAGCATGATGGGGGGCAGTGAGGCAGATTTGTGCAGCGTTGCCCTGAGATACAGGATGTCGTAATAAGGCAATTGGAAGAGAGAGAGAGAGAGTGGAAAAAGAGAGAGAGAGAGAAACTAAGCAAAATGGAAATAGGGGAGGAGTTTGAAGCCTCGAGGAGAAAAACACGAGTTTTCCTGTCTGTGTCACAAGCCGACACCCCTCCGCCCGAGCAGAGAGTGGGACGCTCCGCCTCGCTCCGGGCTCTGTTGTTGTGCAGAGCTGCATGCACTGGGCCTGACTGAGCCGAGCCTGACAGGAAGAGGAGCGACACCTCAAGACAGAGACATGCTGCACACCGAGAGCCGGGAAGCTGTGTCATCATCCGGTCCGACCAGCACCACCGCGGAGGAGAGAGGCCAGGCCAAGGCGGCGGAGAGGACGGGCAGCATCAGTGGAAGCAGGAGAAAGTGACGGGGAGAAAGAGCGGCAAGGTGAAGGAGGAGAAGGGAGGAAGGAAAGGGAGGGAGGAAGGAGGCTGGAGCATGAGGAGGGGCGCCTGACTGACTGACTGACATTGCTGCTGGTTTCAGCTCCAAACACGCACAAGAGGACGCAGACCCAGACAAAACCGGGCTCCATCTCTTCTTCCTCCTCCTTAAAGCAAGAGGATCTAGATAAGGACGACGACGAAGAGGAGGCGGAGAAGGAGAGGAGGCAGTAACCCTCTCCTCTCCTGCACGCAGACACACACAGCAGAGACAGAGGCAGAGAGGAGGACAGCAGAAAAAGGAAAGAAAACCCCAGAAAGGACAGGGAAGGGAGCGCGGCTTTGTGCTCTTCGTTCCGCCGTCTCCTGTGGTCGCTCGGCCGGAGAGCGGCGAACAGGCACCGCTCATGTCCGTGAACTCGGAGAAATCCTCGTCCCCTGAAAGGTAACACCTCTCTCTGCTGATTCTTATCGATCCACTCATCCCCACCCCCCCGTGCATGTATAATAGGTTTTAATTATTATTATTATTATTATTGAGTCTGAACGCTTGCATGTTTTGACTCTAGCTTTCTCTCTGTGTGTCTGCTGGTTTCTTCCATTGTTCGAGAAACAACACTGAGACACAATAATACAGTCCTTCGATGTAGTCTGACAGTAAAATAACATTTACGCATTTCCGAGGCTCTGACGACACCAAACAATGCACCACAGACAAATATATATATGAAAAAATATATATATAAATATATATGTAGTGTCTATGATGGTGGTGCACAGAGTGTCAACACACGTCAACATCAGCTCAGCCAGCAGCAGCAGCAGCAATGCAAGACAACAGCTCACCACATGAAGCCCCAGAATGCATGCTGTTTCTGATCAGCACATATCAGCTTTAAAACTCTTCGGCCAGTCAGATTATGTATGTTCACATGATAAAAGAGCCCATCTTGATGTAGCATGCTCTCACAAGGGCCGCTGTCTGTCTTGTCATCCAGCCCAACACGCATCATGACCATGCTTAAGCCAGAGTGAGGTATAATGGTGTGAAGGAACACCTTGAGTGAGAAAGAATGAAATGTCACCAGGATTTACTCAGAGTAGCATCAAACTGCTTCAAATCAGCAATAATTTCCACTGCTGCCAGAATAATAACACTAGTTCAAATCATGTCAATTAAACAATTTGTTTTTACTTTTATTTTAATACGTGGCCGAAAGCAAAGTTTTAACTTTGAGGAACGGGCAATATGGCCTTAAAATGTCATTTCTTGGTATTCTGTGGTAGTGGTTGTGGAGCGCTTTCTACGAGTTCTTTCACTTCATAAAATCAGAGTATTTATCCGATTGGTTACCTCAATACTCAAGTTTAACCAAGTAGTCATGCCTGCTGCTTACAATCATTTCTATATGAGAATTACATATTGTTGACCTCGTAGCGTAATTGCCTAAATCATTTGTTGGCCAAATTGAGATAACTGCATAATATTGATCTCCTAGCTACATCACCCTGCCTAATTGTCTATATCCTCAGCATGTCAGAACACTGGTCATAGTCTAAAATCAATATTTTTTATGTACTTTTTTTTGTGTCCATATTTTATCCAGGTTTTTTCTTGTTTTCTAACAAAAAATGTTAAAATATGACTAGGGCAATTATGCTAACAATATTTATTAATTCTCTCATGGCAACAATTGCAAAAACAGTGCAAACTGCAGAGGTCACAGTCCCATGCGCACTGTCAGTTTCTCTTGTTTGCAAATATCAAAAATTATTGTTTCATTATCACAATATGTGTTCGAATCAGAAAGGGGGGAAAAAAAGCAGCAAATATGGCTTAAAATTTCTTAAGTTCTATTTGACATACGTATTGTTTTTATAAGGGAAAGTAACATAGTTACTTTATTGTATAAAATGACAATGTGCCTAGAAAACATAATACTGTCTATTTAACAAATTTTGTCAATTTGTCTGACTGTTGGTAGTGATCAGATTTAATATCCGGCTTTTAAAAACGCTCCATTATTAAGTTATCTATTATTATTATTAGTCGTAGGCAGTTGATTAGTCAAGCTACCTGCTCAGGCAGCCATCTTGCAATCCACTACTTATCATGAACTGCTGCTTGTAGTTTGCTAGCCCGGCCATTTCCTTCCTACACAATGCCACTCTATTCTAGTCTCTCTTCACTTCTCAATCTGGGATTTCTCCCATTGAGTTGGATTTCTCCAGGAGAACTTCAACTGGGCCGAAGGTTCAGACCCGCTACAAAGTGAAGTATAGAGCAACGGACTGGTTTGTATCAGACTGGTGATGGGTCCACACCATGAAGTCTGCGCTTTCGAGAAAGAGGTCGATTTGTTTTTCTTGCGAGAGAAAAGTATAGTCGCCTTGTTTCAGCCAGCTGATGGAAACTTTACGGTGAAACATGGGACAGGTGCATGTGCTTTGAGTTTAGTCAATCAATGAACTTCAATTTATGTTGCAGAGGCGGTACCAGCCAACTAGCTAGCTTTTTTTGCATCTCAGATGAGTAAGCGTGAACAGAACTGCACCAGTTCTGTCCTGATGCAGGTCTTAAAAGCCTTAAGTTTGAGTGAAGCCTGCAGAAGCCCTGAAAGAGAAAGTTTTTCTTTCATTTTACAAGCAGATCATTATTTAAAAAAAATACCCTATCTACGTTGCTTAGGACAGCTGCAGAAGCTTTCTGTTTGCTCATCTTCTTGGGTCAGTGGATCTAAAAAAATATGTGATGTGGGCAGAGTTTCCTGACTTTAATTCAACAGGAACCCGTGTTCATTCAGATTTAATCAGGCAAACCTCCGTGTTCCTAAACTGGCGTGCAGAAGGGAACAGAAGGAGCTTCATTTGACGGGTGCTGGAGGGCGAGAACCTGGCAGACCGGATGACTCAGGTAGACGCTGATGCTGCGCCGCGTTTTTACGACCTGAAAGTGCTGCTGCCATCCACACGGCCCTGTGCCAAAGACCCCCAGATTGGCACGCTTCAGCACATACTGCAGTGGGTGCACAGATACGGCAAAAGTAAATGGCACTAACAATACCAAATATGATCACACGGGTGCAGAGGAGAGTGGTACTATGAAGCAGAGTTTAATGTGGCAGAGGGCACATGCCTTCCGTAAAAAGACCATGTGTGGAGGATTAGGACAAAGAAAATAGGATCTCTAATCCTCAGCACTTGCATGTTGGCTGTATGTCAGTTTCTTTGTGGTAATATTTATGGATTTCATCATTCAGCTTACTTAATTCTTCACCTATTGTCTGGCTTTGCGCGATCTGTAATTAAGAATACCGTCGCATGGCAGGCAACAACTAAAGGAGCCACTCTTGTATGCACCACTGCTCCCTTTTTTTAAACTCCAGCTGCACCTCAAATGGCCCCTGCAGTTAGTTCGCATTCGGATTGTCTCTTAGAGAATTTGTGTTTGAATGTGTAATTATATTCACCTCAGTTATAAAATGTTGGTTTGACGAGAAAACTGCCAGCATGTTTACGTTTGGCAAAAGACGTTTTACAGAGAAATAATTTCTGAAGTTTCGAATCACCTTCTGAAAAACTAAAACGGAAATGAACTGTAATCATTTAGGCAATTTAAATGTGATGCTTTATAAGAAAACTATCTTTCTCCTTCTGCTTCTGTGATTTAAAGAAGTATGTGTTTTTATTGAACTTGCTCACATTTTGTCACGTTATGCACACAAACTTGAATCTGTTTTGCAAGAACTTTATGTGACAAACCAAAATCCTCAGTGCAGGAACTGGTATTTTGCTAATATACCGTGTTCCAAATTATGCAAATTGGATTTAAGTGTCATAAAGATTACATTTTTTGTTGTGCTGTTAAATTTATAGATGGTATTGTGTGTCAGGGCTCTTTGAATCACTATAATTAATTTCAGAGAGCTGGTTGATTAGTTTGTCTGATGTGCTCAATTAAAGGAAATCTACTTAAGAAGGATGTTCCACATTATTAATCAGGCCACAGGTTTCAAGCAATATGGGAAAGAGAACATCATCAGATAGTGTAGTGCCGTATGACAAAGTATAAAAATATTAGATATTTGACAAAAATTGAAGCGTTATCATCATACTGTTAAGAGATTTTTGGCTGATTCAGAACAAAGATGGGTTTGTAGAGATAAAGGCATAAAGAGGAAGGTTTCTGTTAGACATTCGTCGGATTAAGATGTCTGTGTAACACCATCTGAAACCTGGACGATGTACTTACAAGCAGACACAAACCGATCCATGCCCAGTTCAACAGAGCTTCGTTTGTGCTGAGGCATGTTTGTCCACAATAGAGTGATGTATGTGAGACTGTGTGTGTGTTAAACCAAATGGATGGGCAAGTTGGGCCCGAAAAGGGCAAGATGTGGCGCAGAGACAAATGCTTTTCAAGCGATCGCATCAGGAAGACGATCCTTGTTGTGTAACCCAGCACTCGAAGCGTGCCGAAGACGGATGGAGGACAAGGTGTGTGTTTGTGAGGGTGTGTGTGTTTGTGAAGGGAATTTTGAAGTGCTTGGCGTAAGCTGCTTCTTTTGACATGCATGTCATTTTAGATTATAACCTCTGCTCCTTGATGGAGGGTTTATGTCCTTTGAAGTGTCTTATACTAAGTACTAAAAGAGAGTTCTGCTAAACATCCGAAGGTCAAAAGTTTGCAGGTTTTGCTGAAAGCGAGGGTGCAGCTCTCGTAGTGTTATTGATGGATTGAGAAGGAGCACTTAATGCTGTTGCTCTGGTGACATTGTGCTCTTAAGCAGCGTGTCAAAACTATGTGAGATATATAGACTACATCCCATCATATTTGGAAATATGATGGGATGTAGTCTATATATCTCATATATAGACTACATCCCATCATATTTGAAAATATGATGGGATGTAGTCTATATATCTCATATAGTTTCAGAATACCGGTGTACAGTACCTTGAAAATATGTTAATAGCCATGGTGTTTGTTTTAGTACTTTTTTTTCATTATAGGAATCTATGCAATAGTGCAACACAAAGTGAATATTTGTGAATTGAAAATAAAAAAAACTGCTAAATGTCCTATTCTGAATTCATTTTTGTTTTACCCAACAAGTAATAAATGAAAGATAAAATATCTTAATAAAACACCATCGAAAATACATGAATAACAAATTTTTATGAATCAGTTATTGGTGTTAAATAAAAAAACAAAACTGACAGCGTTATTGTCAATGTTATTTTTACTATTTTCTCAACTGTTTGTTCCACAAGAAACAATAAATAAACAATAAATATCAGTAAATAAAAAAAATTAGGTGCGTCCTGAAGGAGCCATTTCAAATGTGAATGGTTTTCAGAAACAGTTAAATTTTTTGAGACATGCATGTCATTCTAAGAAGTTATAAATAGTTGGGGGTGCTGTGATGGCGCAGGGGTTAAGCA